CACTACAACTTTCCCTTGGTCAATTTGAGCTCCTGATTCCTTTCAGTCAACAGCCTGTGAATAGAGTATTAGTGGGGATAACTGGCCAGACTATCAAAGGGAAGTTAGACTGCTTCTCCAAAACAGAGCTAAGAAAGAGCTTGACTGGAGTTTGAGAGGCACTTTAAGGCATTCCTTGGTAATACTGTGTCCAGTTATTAAGGCCAATGGGAAACTAGCTCAATCCAGGAAGAATTATAAATGGTCCAGATACTTCATGAATAAAGGTTTAAGTTACCCTCCATACAAAGTATGAAGACCTGTTTAGGTACTCGATTAAAGAAGAGGGGATATAAAATATGGTTTTAAAAAAAGTACAAATACGAGATGTAGTAGTTTGAATAAAAATGGCCCCATAGGGGGTGACACTATTAGGAGATTTGGTCTGTTGGAATGGGGTTGCTTTGTTGGAGGAAGTGTGTCACTGGGGGTGGGTTTTGAGGTCTCAAATGCTCAAGCCTGGCCTGTGTGACTCAGTCTCTTCCTGCTGCCTTCAGATCCAGATGTAGAAATCCCAGCTCCTTCTCCGGAACCACGTCTGCCTGCACATTGCCATGTTCCACAACACACTTCCCACTGTGACAATAATGGACTAAACCTCTGAAACTATAAATTAGCCCCAATTAAATGTGTTTCTTTTTTATTTTTTTTATTTTTTATTTTACATGTTGATCCCAGTTACCTCTCCCTCCCTCCCACCCTCTCTTCCCCTTCACATGTACCCAGACCACCCTCCCCTCACATCCCCCCCACCCCAACTCCACCTGGATGGCATTGTAAATCTGTCAAATCATTTGAAGTAGGGACTAGGACTTCTCTCTTTTCTCAAGGTTAAGGGAGTATCCCTCCATGGGGGATGTGTCCACAAGGTCCTTTTGTGCACCAGGAATACATCCTGGTTCCACTGTCTGAGGTCCCTTAGACTGTTCAGTACTTCTAGCTGAGACCCATATTCAGGGGGTCTGAGTCAGTCCCATGCTGGATTCCCAGATATTAGTCTGGGGGCCCATTAGCACCTTCTTGTTCAGGTCAGCTGTCGCTATATGTTTCTGCAACATGGTCTTGTCCTGTCCCTCTGCACCTGGATTCTAGTTCAACTCAGTGTTTAGTTTGGGTGTTTGATCCTGTTTCCAACAGGTACTAGATGAGGGCTCCATGATGGTGGATAAGTTAGTTGTTGATCTTACTATCCGGGAAAGGCATTTATGGTAACCTTTCCATGGTTGCTCAGATTGTTAGTTGGCAGCTGTCTTGTAGGTCTCTAGACCTTTCTTTAGGTTCAGTTTTCTCTCCAAACCAATAATGGCTCCCTCTTTTATATTCATTCTCTCTCTCTCTCTCTCTCTCTCTCTCTCTCTCTCTCTCTCTCTCCTATTCCTACCCTGACTCTATCTTCCTAGTCGCACGTGTTTTCCTCTCCTCCCCTTCTCTTTCTCCTACTTCTCTCTCTATTCACTGCCCCACCCACTTCCCATGTGCTCTGGGAGACTTGCCCTTCCCCCTTCTATGAGGGACTTTATATGAATCTCTTAGAATACACCTTGTATCCTAGTTCCTCTGGTGGTGTGAATTATAGGCTGGTGATCCTTTGCTCTAGGTCCAAAATCCATATATGAGTGAGTACATACCATGTTCCTGTTTTTGTGACTGGGTTACCTCACTCAGGATGGTTTCTTCTAGTGCTATCCACTTGCCTGTGAATTTCAAGATTCCATTATTTTTTTTCTGCAGAGTAGTAATCCATTGTGTAGATATGCCACATCTTCTACATCCAGTCTTCAGTTGAGGGGCATCGAGGTTGCTTCCAGGTTCTTGCTATTACAAATAATGCTGCTATGAACATAGTTAAACAGATGTCTTTGTTGCATGGATGTGGGTCATTTGGGTATATTCAGTATTCCTTTATAAGGATTGCAGTGTTCATGGTTTCTCCCCACAGCAACTTTGAAGTAATTTTTCCTAACTGGCTCCAAGCTCTGCACTCTGCATGCCACTGTACCCCTGGCATGGCTTTATATCAGTTAAGCTGCATTCCTCTCTCTTTTTACTCCCTCCAATCCAGAAAGTCCTCTTCTCACACCTGTTCTGAACAGTAAATCTCTCTCTTAATCCTTCCCTAACAGCTCTGATTCTCTCTTGCCCTTTTATGTGTTTTATAGACAGGAGTTCAGCTTAAACTCAGGAAGCAGGACAATAGCACCTTTGACTGAGATACTGGGTGGGGCCCCTCCTACCAGGGATTATGTTAAAACAAACTCAACTTACTGCATTAACTACAACATTAACCTTGACTACAGATTTGTCAGCACATATCTATACAGACACCAAACACATGTTCTGTATCATGCATTTCCACATGGAAGGAAAGGAGTCCTGACTGCCAAGAACTCATGTAGAATTGATAGCACCACAAGTTTTTGAGACAGGTCTCCTTGTATATCCCTGGCTGTCCTGGAACTTGCTCTGTAGACCAGACTGGCCTTGAACTCAAAAAGAATCATCTACCTCTGCCTGCCAAGTGCTGGGATTAAAGAAATGCACCACCACCGCTCAGCTTTTTCCTTAGAGGGAAGCTGTCCTCTATTACCAGGGGCACCAAGAATTTAATTCTGTCATTACTGGCCTAGGAAATCCTATCCTAAGGTTGACAGAGGGACTAAATTTCCACCCATAAGCCTTTCTTTGATCCTTCTTGTGTTACACATTTACTCTCCTTTTTTCTTTTCTGATAATATATATATACATATATGTATATATGTATATATATTATCCAATATATATCCAATAATATATCCAATATATATATATATATATCCAAAGAAAGAGTAACCTCATGTCAAGGTTGGTTTATTAAGGGTGAAAAAATAATTTTACCTGAAAAAGATTTGCCCCTAATCTCCTCTCACACTTACTTGAAGATTTGTCTCTTGTCAGAAATCTCCATGAGGTTACCCAGTCTTGCCTGACATGCAAGAAGGGACATCAGGATGCTGCCTTTTGGGGTAAATCTAACCAGCACTGGGGAGTTGATTTTACCCACAAGCCACCCATTAAAACAACAACAAAAAAAACAACAAATATTTACTGGTTATGGTAGAAACATTGTTGAGATAGGTAAAGGCTTTTCAATGAAAATCTAAAGGGGCTGCTTTGCTGATTAGTTGAAGCTATAACTGGATGTCTACGTCTTCCCCAGCCTGTCTATATGTGTCACCTATCTGTAAGCATGTGTGCCTACTTCTTGAGTCCCATATTGCCTGGGTGCCTACTAGCACGTGCCTACTACTGGGTGCCTACTAGCATGACTCGTGTACTGATGGATAAAATAAGTAACATCTGCCTAAAAAAAAAAAATATGAACCAGGCGCAGGAGAGATGGCTCACAGGTTAAGAGCATTGGCTGCTCTTCCAAAAGTTATGACTTCATCTCCCAAAAACCACATGCTTGCTCACAACCATCTTAAATAAGAGCTGGTGCCCTCTTCTGGTGTGCAGGCAAACATACAGGTAGAACACTGTATATGTAAAAATAAATAAAATCTTCAAAAAAAAAAAAAAATGAACCAGGGGTGGGGTAGGAAGGGAAGAAGTGAAAGAGAGCGAGAACATGAAAGCAAAATTGGGGCTGGAGAGGCGGTTCAGTGATTAACAGCACTTGCTTCTCTTGCAGAGAAGCAAGAAGTTCCGTTCAGCTACATGGCAGCTAATAATCATTACTCTAGCTCCAGGGAATCCAACACATTTTGGGGGCTCTATGAGCACCAGGATCAAACAAAGTACAAATTCATAACAATTAGGTAAAACCTTACAATAAATTTAAAAAAATGAAAATATTTAAAAATCAAAGTAGAATATTGAGAGGGAAGGGGATTCTGGGGATAAGTGAGATTAAAAACACTGCATATGTGTATCAAGTGTCATAATAAAACATTATTGTGTAATAATAAAAAATACCAAAAACAAAAAATTGCCACAATTGAGGAGAGCTTCACTGAATTAGCCATGGCTTCACGGGGAAGGTATGTGTGGACTTAGGATCACTACTGTTACAGAAGAGGGACCTGAATGCAGACTCAGTGAACTACGACTGAAAAAAGCAAGGAATTTTGGAGAAAGGGTGTGCTCAGAGCACCCTGTAGTTACTCAGGCTCTTCCAATATCAAGAGGACAACTCTCAAATATTCATTCCACTCATCTGTGGGAATCTTACAGTACACACTTTAGAAAAGCAGCCTTTTTAAGGCTCAGGCATTATGCTGGCCTGCACCTGTCACCTGACAGAATGAACACGGGCAGTAACCTGGTCAGCATGCAGGTGCAAAGACCCCTCTAACAGAACGACCCTCACACACAAGTGCGCTATTTCCTGTTCTCTTTCCCCCTGTTCCCCTGGGGCAGACAGGACTTTTCCTGTATCCTTCTGTCCCCTCTCTGTCTCTCTGTCTCTTTTCTCTTTCCATCCCTTCCCTTTCTAATAAAACTTCTCACTTAATCTATGTCTGTCTGCCATGTTTCTCTCTCCACCTCGATCACCCTCACCTGCCATAGAATACACGAAGGTTCCTAAAGCTTTATCCTAACAGCCATGGCTTCCATGGCTTTATGTTCCTTCCTCTCTGCCCAATGCCCACACTGGGCCTGTGACTCCAAGAACAGTAAACATGGTGATTCCAGATTTGAAGTGAGGGCTGCAGGTATCCACAATGAACTTCTGAAGTCCTGCTGTGCCTTGCAATGAGGCCAAAAAAGGAATGCACAAGAGCATTGGCCCCACCTGCTGAACTCAGGCTCCTGTCAATTGTGCCTACTCATCACAGCTCTCCTGCAACTTTGCCCTGCCCACAGAGCTCCCGCCTATAACCCTTAGGGTCCAAATATCTGTCTGGGCAAAGCCCACATGTTCGGTTTCCTGCTGATGCCACACAGTGCATCCCAAAGCAGCACAGACTCAGACCTCAGAGATGACATGGGACAAACTTCCTGGTTGGCTGAATGTGGTGGCCTTTGGGCTTCTGTTTCTCCTCCGAGTGCAAGGTGAGGCTCCATATGTGGGTGGTGTGAACCAGAGTTGCCAATTTTGACAGAGTCAGAAGCTGAGACTGTGGTAGGGAAGGTAGCAAGTAGGGAGGAGCAGGTAGAAATGACAAAGTGGGAAAGTGACCCCTGTATCCCAGAGTCAGTGATGCCTGAGGACTCTCAATAGTAAGGAGAGTCTCCTGACAAGTACTGGGCATGAAAGTCAGAAGTACAGAGGGCTGGAGAGAGAGAGGCAGATATGGCATGCTCCCATCTGTGTGTGCTGATCCTGTGACTTTAGCTGCTACTGGCCTGTGGATAATAATAAAATTAACCCACCATTCTGCTGCCATTGAATTCCAAATGTGTCACTCCCCCCCCCCAACAGAGAAGCATCCAGGTAGACTACTCCAAAAAGTCCTGGGAAAGTTTCCTGGCTCTCAGTCATACAGTTTTCCTGCCCTACAATGGTTGCCCAACTGAGATCCCAAGGTTCCTGTCCCCATTTTTCAGACCTTTGAAAAAGACACAACTTGGCATCCAAGAATATGCTCTGGGCCTGCCAGAGAGTCTTCAGGCTTATGAAAAGGTGAGCCATGAGAGGACTGTGCCCAGAGTCTGTGTACACCCCTGAGGCTCTTGTCTATTGTTGTCCAGGTTCTAAGATTTACTGGGGACTTCTGGACAGGAAGATCTTCCCAACTCACACTTAGTTTATTGAACTCTTCACATTTGGCTTATTGAACTCTTAATTGTTCTTGTTTGGATCCTGGGTTCAGAATCACTGATAATTGTAAGAAGACACAGAGTTGTGTCCTATCCAGGCAAGGCTCTTCCATGGGGACGTCAAGATAATATATTCTGGGTAAGGCAGAGAAGGCAGAAGGCTTCTCAACTGCAAGCCAGCCTGGGCTACATAGCAATAACCTATGGGAGGTGGTGGAGATAAAAGTAGAGATGTGTTAAAACAGAATACCATGACAATTTCAGAATCATTACTAATCTGGAAGAGAGTACTTCTGAAGTAAATTTGGACAGCAATTCTTACAACAACAAATTCTGAAATTTAAAGTATCACATAAAAGGTCATACAGCAATCTAAATCAAGGAGGCATTTTGGTTTTTAAATATGTCATGCATGATATTTGCTGAGATTTAACTACAGGATAATTTTCTACTATTTCTTTTTCACTTTTCATTTGTACATATGGTTGTTACAAAGACACTGACTCTTGAGAAACCTACATGTATGATTAGAGTGGTGTATTCCTTTCCCCATGTGTCAATCTAACTCAGGATCTCTGTTTAATAAACTCCATGACCCATTTGAAACTGGAAAAAGGAAAATGTTGGTAGATTTGTTTTTATTTTCACATGTATGGCTGTGTTCTTCTGCCTCCGGACCAGAAAGATACTTCACTTCAATATGTGGGATTATGAGGAGAGCTTCTGTTGGTGGGTAAAGCATCCTGGATGTAGCCTGACTCTTATCAGATTAAGTTCAGCAGGCTTTGTGTGTCACTGTAGCAGTGACAGGTATTAGTGACCCATGTCCTCAGTGAGCTATATGGACAGACATGTCATGTGGCATGGTATCCTGTAGACAGCATGTCAGCTGGTGACTGGGGGGAGCCTTCAGCTTTGTAAAGAAGTTGGCAAATTGACCTCTGATCCCTAAGATTGGTCTTCATTACCTGGTAGCACATCAAGAAGCATCAAACATGCAACCCATGTTTATCAGGTGTGGAATATCCTCACTTCTTGTGGAAACAGGACAGATCTGCCACATTCTGCTACATTGGAGCATGATGCAGTGGAGACAAGTTGCCAGGGGTACTTGGAAAAGACTGAGTTGAGGATAACAAGAAAGTAACAACATCCATAATGTGAAGATAGATGATTGAGCAAACCGAACCTGGATACCATATGTTATTTACAGGTGAAGACTCAGCCAGCCCCATTAGGACTACACACACAGGACTGGTGCAGGGAAGACTTGTCCACTTGAATGACACCAGAGAGGCTGTCCAAACCTTCCTGGGAATCCCCTTTGCCAAGCCACCTCTAGGAAAGCTGAGATTTGCACCCCCTGAGGCTCCCGAACCATGGAGTGGCGTGAGAGATGGGACCTCCTACCCACCTAGGTATGTTCTCCTGAGACCCAGGACTGTGTAGTTGCTCAGACATCTGAGACAAACTGCTGTGCTTTCTCCATCTCAAGCCCTCAGCCGCATTCTCTCTGTGATGGGGATACACTGCAGATGCCAGAGAAAAAGCCAAAATGATGATAGTTTCTTAGCAAATTCACCCTCCACAATCACTGTGCCAACCCATGAATATCCAGGTACTATTGGCCAAGATATAAATATATGTCTTCCAATTAGAGATTCTGCAAGAGAATTCAGTTCCTTGAGAGTCTGGATATGAGGTGAAGGAAGTCCCACCACAATGTTTACCCCAATACCCTGGATGTAGAATGTACAAAGAGAAATGGTATAATTATACACACCAATAGTTTTCACAGAAACTCATGGAAATGCCAACATCCCGTCATCAGGAAGAGTGGGATTTAAGGCTCCTATCCATCTGGCAGCCTCACTGGAATTTGAACTCCAGTTTTCCCAAAGCCTGGGACCTTACCTTGTTTGGAAGAGATTTTGGAGTAGAATCTCATGTTATCAGAACTTCAATGGGCCACAGAGAAGAGATTTTGATGCCTGAGAGCATTTGCTCTCAGGGCCTGTTTTTACCTACTGCATATCTCATAAAATAATTGTCATTGTCCCCAGGTGCTTACAAAATTCTGAAACAGAGAATGTAAAGAGTCTGGCAATGATGAAACTCAGCGTGACTCCCATCTCTACATCGGAGGACTGCCTGTATCTCAACATCTACACACCAGCTCATGCCCATGATGGTACTAACCTGCCTGTGAGAAGCAGACCATACATAGCTCTGGGGATGGGCATTTCTTCAGGATGATTAGAAGAGCCAAAATCAATCTGAGCTCCAAGAAGGATGGATCCTTTTCTACATCCATTCTTTTTATTGGGGAATTGAGTCTGTTGGCATTGCAGTATAACAATGATGAATGTTACTTCCTAATATTTTGTTGGGGGTGGTAGTGATATTGGTGATGGCAGTGATGTGTGTGTGTGTATGTGTGTGTATGTGTATGAGTGTGTATGTGTGTGTGTGAGAGAGAGAGACAGACAGATAGACAGACATACCAGACCAGACAGACAGACAGACACAGAGTCTGAGAGATTCTTTTTATTTTGCTAGGATAGATTATTTCCTGTGTTTTCATGTGTGTAGTTCATCTCCTTGGTTTGGATTTTGCCTCTAGAAACTTCTGTAGGGCAGATTTGTACATAGATATTGTTTAAACTTGCCTTCATCTTGGAACATTTTAATTTCTCCATCTATGATTATTACAAGTTTTGCTGGGTATAGTAATCTTGACAGGCATCTTGAAAAATCTCTTGAAAAATCAGGTGTAAGTCTCATAGATATGCCTTTGTGTGTTAGTCTTTTCCCTACAGCTTTTAATATAATCCTTTGTTCATGTCTAGTGTTTTGATTATAATATGGCAAGGGGACTTTTATGGTCCAATATATTTGCTGTTCTGCATGGTTCTAGAACATTTATAGGTATTTCCTTCAAACAGGAAATTTTACTTCTGTGATTTTGTTGAAGATATTTTCTAGGACTTTGACTATTTTATATTCTCCTCCTTCCTCTATTCATATTATTCTTAGACTTCTTCTTTCCATAATGTCCCAGATTTATTGTTAGATTTCACATTTTCCTTGACGAATGTATCAATTTCTTCTATCATATCTTCCATGCCGGAGATTCTTTCTTCTGTCTTTTATATTCTGTTGGTGAAGATTTCATCTGTACTTCCTATTAACATTACACATTTTTTTTCATTTCCAGGATTCCCTCAGCTTCTGCTTTCTTCAGTGTTTCTATTTCCACTTTCAGGTTTTGAAACCTGCCCCCATCATACCACACACACACACACACACACACACACAAACACCTAGTCTTTCTTTATGGGATTTAGTCATTTCCTCCAATTGTTTGTTTTCCTGGAATTCTTTAAGTAGTTTATTCATTTCCTTTTAAGGACCGCTATCATCTTCATACCGTTGGTTTTAAAGTCTTTTTTTTTTTTTCAGCTATGTTGAAATATTCAGGATGTGCTGTGGTAGGATAGCTGGGCTCTGTTGGAGACATATTGCCCAGGCTGTTATTGCTTGGACCTACTCATCAGGGTTTAGGAGTGACCACAGGTCTCAGTATTGGTTTCTGGGTGTGTCTTTGTGTGTTGGGTGTTTTGTTCCTTAGTTTCTGTTTGCACACTGGGTTTTCATAGTGTGTTGTCTCCTTTACTGACATGTTCAGCCAGTGTGTACACAGGGAATGATTGTTGGTGCTGGAGGCTGGGAAAGGGCCAGGAGGAAGATGGTCTGTTGCAATGCTATGGGTGACCCTGAGAACTGGGGAACAGAGAGAGGGAAAATGGTCCACAGCAGTCTACCTGGTCACCTGCCAGGTATAGGCTACAGTTGAGGAGGGAATATCTGCACAAGATGGTGATTGGAATAGAGTAGTAAGTTTGGAAGGGAAAGCCAGTAGAGGGGCAGGGGTATGAGGGACTCACAGCAGTGGGAGACAGGTTGAGGGAAGCTTCAACTGGTATTCTGTTGCACTGCTGGGGAACCCTGAGAATCGGGGGGTAACAGAGAGTGGGGAAGATCCTTAGGCACCCTACCGGGTCCCACAGGTCTGGTATTAAAGGCTTACATCACAATGACCAGCTATGTGCCAATGAATTTTGTTAATAATAATGGAGAGTCACTGATGAAAACACCCCTCTTCATTTCAAAGGCTCTGAGAGTAAAGGTGTCATTATTCCATATTTAGAGACATTAATCTAGGCTTCAGTCTTTAGAGATGTAGAGGGGCTGGCAAGTATACTGATGATGTTAGGACCCTGTCTGTGGCCCAGGTGAGGATGTCCTGAGGAGTTTTGTCTGTGTGTCTATGTACACTGAGACAAAGCATGAGGTAAAGTAGAAGATACCCCAGGTGGAGTTTGAGCTGGGTGGGAAGTTCCTGTCATCTGACTTGATTTCCACAGGTGATGGTATGGATCCATGGTGGTGGACTAGTAACGGGCATGGCTTCTGTGTATAATGGATCCATGCTGGCAGCCCTTGAGGATGTGGTGGTGGTCACTATCCAGTACCGTCTGGGTATCCTAGGCTTCTTCAGGTGAGTCTAGGGCTGACCTGTGCTGTGCAATAGAGGATAAACAGAAATAAGACAGCCCTGTGATTCCTTCTCTGCCACTCCTCAGCACTGGAGATCAACATGCCAGAGGCAACTGGGGCTACCTTGACCAAGTGGCCGCCCTACGCTGGGTCAGGCAGAATATCGCCAATTTTGGAGGCAACCCTGACTGTGTCACCATTTTTGGACAGTCTGCAGGAGGCACAAGTGTGTCTTCACATGTTCTATCCCCCATGTCCCAAGGACTCTTCCACAGAGCCATCATGGAGAGTGGGGTGGCCCTGGTTCCTGTACTGATCTCCAACACTTCTGACATGGTCTACACAGTGAGTCTCTCCACCCATCCTACTGATGACCCTACAGCCTCAGTCCCCTCCTTCTGATGCTCTGGGAGTTTTATCAATCGGGAAAACAAGCAGCTTCTTTCGGGAGATTCTGAGAGACTCATGGGTTAGAAACTACTTCTTTCTACGTTACACAGGCTGGGAGTAAGAACCATGCATAAGTACCTTGTAGTGTCCATCATTTTCAGAAACTAGTATGTATGTGATGATGATATGGCTCAATACATAGAAACATAAAGGCCTGAGTTCCAATTCCCCCCAAAACCACAAAAAGCTGCATGTAGTAATAAGTGTGTAATCCTAATATTCCAATGGTGAGATAGGAGGCAGAGACCAGAGAATTCTTGAAGAGTCGCTAGTTACATTGACACCTGTAGACAGGAAAAAGTAATAAACATTCATTTCTCAAACAAAACAGAAATGCGGACTAGCGACCTCTAATATTTAGACACCAACCTAACTCATGCATGTACACACATAGCTTATTTTTAAAGTGTTTAGGTAGAATGACCCCTCTGGCTGTCACATCTGAGCAACAAGAAAATGGGAATTTCATGCTAACTCTAAACCTCCAGCACAAGATATGATGTGGTATCAGGACACAATGTCATTCAACTAGAATTGGGAAAACTCCTTGCCTAAAAAGATGAATCAACTCCTACCTGATCCCTTACAGACAGTGGCCAACTTATCTGATTGTGAGGCTGTGAACTCAGAGACCCTGGTGCACTGTCTGAGAAACAAGAGCGAAGAGGACATTCTGACTATTAACCAGGTTGGAGGAATAATGTGACTTAGAGGACCGGTTCAATGAGATGTCAGACAATCAGCCCTTATTACACTAAATAAACTATGTCTGCACTATAATTTGGTATGCTTTATATCATGTGCATAAAATGAATACCAAGGTATCCTAATAAATGTACTCTCTCAGGGGTAAGAAGCATCTTGGGACAGTGAAATGGGGGGATGGGGATAGGGTTTCTCAGTGAATAAATAATATGTATTGACATTCACCATTGAACTTGGATGCCCATCAGGTCTTCAAGATGATCCCTGCTGTGGTGGACAGGGAGTTCTTACCCAGGCATCCCCAAGAGTTGTTGGCTTCTGTGGATTTTCACCCTGTCCCCTGCATTATTGGTGTTAACAATGATGAATATGGTTGGATTCTACCAAAGGTATTAACAGTTCCACTTCTTTAAAATTATGGGGACTTATAAGTTGGGTAGTGAAACCATAAACTGTATACACCCACCTTATACTGAAAACTGCACCCTGTCTCCCAGACCATAGGCACTGACCAAACAATAAAGAACATAACCAGAGAGACCTTGCAGGCTTTGCTGAAGAGCATAGCAGCAAAGATGGTGAGACACCTTGGGTACTGCCTCCAAAAAAAAGTACCCATACATATCCTTCTCAGACACCATGCCTAGAAACAAAACTTCCCAGCACACTCCCTATTCTTCATACTGTGGCTGCTGCCTGTCAAAACAAAAACCTGCCTAACCTTATTCTTCCTGATCCCCTGGTGTAGAACTTGCCTCCTGAGTGTAGTGATCTGCTAATGGAAGAGTACATGGGGGACACTGAAGACACCCAGACCCTCCAAATACAGTTCAATGAAATGATAGGGGACTTCTTCATCATTATCCCTGCACTCCAAGTTGCAAACTTTCAGTGTGAGTACATCTGTAATGAGGCCAAGATGGGAAGAATTCGTTGTCATGGGTCCCAGGTGAGTTCTATAGTGTCCAGGTCCATACCCATGACTGGATCATTTCTCTGGTACCAAATACCCAAGGACCATTACATTGGTATTTCTTCATTCTAGTGTAAGAGACATCTTACCATATACAGATAAGAAAACAGGTTGCTAATACTCTATTGATTTTGTTTAGCCAAAGTCTTACCTATAATTAGTGAACCTGCCTGAAGCCACCCACTTGACAATTATGCCATCATATAACATTATATTTTGTCACCAAGGGTTAGGCAGGAAAGCTCCAGGTGAGAAAATGCTATGACACCATGTGTTCTCACTGTAGATTCCCATGCACCTGTCTATTTTTATGAGTTCTGTCATGACACCAACTTCTTCAAAGAAATCAGACCACACCATGTGAAAGCTGACCATGGCGATGAAGTTCCCTTTGTTTTTGGGTCTTCCTTCTGGGGCATAAAATGTGAGTCTTCCTTGTTTTCCATGAGCTACATGGGGCCCCAGCTGGGTACCTGATGGGCAACTGAGGTCCCAGTCCAGTTGAGAAAATCAAGGCTCTCAGAGAGGATCATTTTCCCAGTTCATAATGCTACACCAAGAATATACTCAGGACACTTTGGAGTACAATCTATTGTCTTAGTTACTTCTCTATAGCTGTGATGAGACACTATAACCAAGGCAGCTTATAGAAGAAAGAATTTATTGGGACTTGCAGTTTCAAAGGGTTAGTCAAAGTCCATGACCATCATGGTTGAAAGAATAGCATGCAGGCAGGCATGACATTGGAAAAGTACCTAACTAAAAGCTTACATCCTGATCTACGAGGCATAGAGAGAGAGAGCTAACTGAAATAGACTGGAATTTTAAACCTCAAACCAACTTCCAGTGATACCCCTCCTCCAACAAGGCCATACCTCCTAATTGTTCCCAAACAGTTCCACTAACTGGGGACAAAGCATTCAAATAAATGAGTCTATAGAAGTCATATAATTTGAGCTGCCATACACATGCTAGATGGAACAAGGACACACTGGAACATAACTGAACCTGGAGGCATTCAGTTAGAGGTGTGGGTGGCTCTTGAATCTGAATCTTGAAGGGGAAGGAAAAGAGGCCTAGAGACCAAATCAGGCTGTAGGAAGGATGGTGAATATGGAGCGAGAATAGGCAGCTGCATCAGGTGGAACTTGAATGTTTGTCTTTCCCATGGCTACAGCTGACTTCACTGAGGAGGAGGAACTGCTGAGTAGGAGGATGATGAAGTACTGGACTAACTTTGCACGACATGGGTGAGAGCATGCCCCTCCCTTAAATCCTTGGGTCCTTATGTGGTTGATGGCTTCATTAGCCTACATGGATAACTCATCACATGATAGAGTTCTCCTCAGCCCATGGCACACTTAGATACATTCTATTAGTTACTGGTCATATTGGAGTGACCTGGCTGGAGCTATGGTGTTATTCTTTAGATCTGACGTTTGAGAGAGAGACGTGAAATTGGCCAGGTTGTCTAGCCCCACATGGAGCAGACACCAGTAAGTGACACTTGTGTCCCTATAGGAGGACAGACACATGCCCCAACAGCGTCCTCAACCATTGGCCCAATTGGTCCACTGCCCTGACACTCACTGAGGGATTAGGCATTGGTCAAGAATGACCTTCACCATTCTCCACAGGAACCCCAACAGTGAGGGTCTACCCTACTGGCCTGTGTTTGATGAGTACCTGCAGTTGGATATCCAGCCCACTTTGGGGCAAGCCCTGAAGGCCAGAAGGCTGAAGTTCTGGACCAAGTCTTTTCCAAAGATGATCCAAGAGCTAAAGAGGGCTCAGGGAAATTAAAAAGTGTTGCAGTTCTCTGTGAGAGGAATGATGTGAAGGATTGAGTATATATGGAGTCAGCCTAACATTTCTTAGAGAATCCTGGTTAAAGCCTAACAACCATATAACCAACCATCCCCTACACTTGTCCATTTGGCCAACTTGTATGACAAACACTTTGTGTGTCACTCATTACTCCACATGCTGGGACACCGTTTACAAGACCCACTATGTAAATGCTCCCATGACTGTGTAGATGTGTGATCCCCTAAGTGCACCAATCTGCCTTCACAGTCTAATGGTACCTGGATCCTCCCTTCCTTTCTTCTGCTTTCATCTTCTCTCCTCTTCTCCAAGCCCCAGACATTCTTCATATGAAACAGAAGCTTTGGAAATATTGACTATAAGTGAGTGGGCTTTGTCAAAATCCTATGTTCTCTCAGCATGTCTCATGTCTTTCTTATGTTTAAGTATCCAATAAAGAAACCTAATAATCCAAAGTTCAATAATTTCATTTTTTCTGACTGTATTCTGAAAGTTCACAGATTGCAAGATGGGCTCTATAGAAGGTATCTCTGACCCGTGCTACACAGATACTGAGACAGGAAGATTCATGATTCAACCAGTTTCACGTCAGCCTAAGCAATACCGTAAGAGCCACATCTCATATATATCTGGAAAGCACACATACCAATTTGGATACATGTTTATGAAAGAAGAAAATCAAGGTCAGGCACAAGATTTGCATGTGGTGACAGTTAGGTCTCTGACTCAGAAGGTTTCCTGTTACATCCTCATTGAATAGTATGAGAGAACAATGACACTCTTGACCTTCCCAGAGTCAAAACTCTTAATAGCATTAATAGAAATTCAATTTCAGCAAATAAATTTGATTGCATGGCTTTCAGACCAAAGCTCATACAGGTCTCTGACATCAGCCACAAAGGATGCCAACTGATGAAAAAAAATCCCTACATAGTGTCCCTGTATATGAAATTTTGCAAAGGCCTGCAGAAGCAGATCTAAGCATGTTCGTGAAATTTTCAATCTGCATCAAGAGTTAGGGTGTTACATCTTCATTAACCATTCTTCAATTGAGGGGCACCTAGGTTGCTTCCAGATTCTTGCTATTACAAATAGTGCTGCTATGAACATAGTTGAACAGATGTCTTTGTTGCATGGATGTGAATTCTTTGGATATATGCCTAAGAGGGGGATTGCTGGGTCCTGTGGTAAACTAATTCCCATTTTCCTGAGGAACCGCCATACTGATCTCCAAAATGGCTGTATGTGGCACATCTACACAATGGAATACTACTCTGCAGAAAAAAATAATGGTATCTTGAAATTCGCAGACAAGTGGATGGCACTTGAAGAAACTATCCTGAATGAGGTAACCCAGTCACAAAAAGAGGAACACAGTATGTACTCACTCATATGTGGATTTTAGACTTAGATCAAAGAATCACCAGCCTATAATTCACACCACCAGAGGAACTAGGATATAAGGTGTATTCTAAGAGATTCATATAAAGTCCCTCACAGAACTGGGAAGGGACAAGTCCCCCAGAGCTCAGGGGAAGTGGGGGGGGGGCAGCGAATGGAGAGAGAAGTAGGAGAAAACGAGGGGGAGGGAAGGAAAACATGTGCGACCAGGAAGATTGAACCTGGTTAGGAAAAGAAGACAGGAGAGAGAGAGAGAGAGAGAGAGAGAGAGAGAGAGAGAGAACATAAAAGAGGGAGCCAATACTGGTTTGAAGATAAAATTGAACACAAAGAAAGGTCTAGAGAACTACAAGACTGCTGCCAACTAACAATTTGAGCTTCAGTGGAAAGGCTACCATAAATGCCCTTCCCAGAGAGTGAGATCAACAACTAACTTATCCATGGAGCCCTCAACTAATGCCTGTTGGAAACAGGAGCAAACACCCATACATAAACACTGAGTCAAAGTCGAACTCAGATGCAGGTGGAGAGGACAAGAGCAGGAGGCAGAAACACATAGAGACAGCTTACCTGAACAAGGAGGCGCGCTAACGCTGGGAAGCCAGCATGGGACTGACTCAGGCCCCTCTGAGACTGACTCAGACCCCCTGAATTCGGGTCTCAGCCAAAAGGACTGAGCAGTCTAAGGGACTTCAGACAGTGGAGCCAGGATGTATACCTGGTGCACAAAAGGACTTTGGGAACACATTCCCCATGGAGGGATAACTGCCTTAACCTAGAGACAGGAGAGAAGCCCTAGTCCCTACTTCACATGACCTGTCAGACCTACATGACCCCAACTGGATGGCATTCCCCTACATATGGAATTGGGGTGGCAGATGAGAGGGGAGGGTGGTTAGAGTGCATGTAAGAGGGCAGAGAGGGTAAAAGGGAGGGAAGGAGGGAACGAGGGATGGAGGAAGGGAGGGGGAACTGGGATCGACATGTAAAATAATAAATTTTTTAAAAAATGCTTTGACTCAAAATTTAAGTTGAAGGACAAGTTACTGGGGAAAAGGATTTCTATTTTTGTTTCCACAGAAAATGAAAAGATGTGGATTCCTTCCAGACTAATGTGGTTTGATCAAGCCACACCACCTGAAACAGAGTACCAGGAGAGCCTACATTCAAAGCAGCTGGACAAAGCAGCCTTACAGACTACAGCCAGGATTTCTGCATCTTCTTCAAATCCCCCATGACAGCAGGAAGTAGTTTGGAAAGAACCACACCCAAATTCCCAAATATTGTCTATAAATGTTTGTTTTCATTTAAATGGACTTGGTTATACAAAATAAATAAATAAATAAATAAATAAAATAGGCCATTTGATGAAATGGAAAAAAAAAAAGAAAAAAGAAAAAGAAAAGAGTTAGGGTGTTGATTGGAACTACCTGGGTTTCTCAGAGTCCGTTTTCTGAAGTTTCTTCTTTGGTCAGGACTTCTGTCCTGACAGTATGGAGCCCACACTTGCTGATTTCACCAACTCTTTGAAACTCTATGGGGTGTGTCCTAGAAATGGGGTGGGGTCAGAAGGGATTTCTGTCCCTGGCATAGTTAGCAAACTTGTCATGTATGGAAATGTTTTCCTGCCTATCAATGAATTGATGTTTCAACCTCCCGCAGTACAAAGTCTCTTGATTTGCCAATTAGAAAGGTGCCAAAATCTGCTGTCTGTTCTGTTGCTTCCCACAAAGTACATTCTCTGTCACTAAGGAGTATTGTCTTGTGTCCTACAGGCAATAGGACTTCCCCATTCATATACCACTCACCATCTTGCTCTATTTGGGCCAGTTTTCCAAGAGCAATGTCCACCTGCCCTAACCATTCCACTGAAGACAAACCATAATGTACCATGACCTTTGATTGAAAACAAAGATTTCTTGTTGTCTACACAGGACACCAGAGAATTGTTGAGGTTAATGTTTAGCCTTGTTTAACAAGCTGAGTAGAGGGATATACTTGATGGGACCCAAATGCATCCCTCTCCCACTCCCTCTCCCTCACTCGCTCTCAGAGGGGGAGGTTTGCCCCTGTGTATCTGTATGTGTCTGTGTATGTTTCTTTGAGGGTTGAGCACATACACACAAAAACACACATGCACACTTGTTCAAACATATTATGACACATAGGTGGAAGACAGAGGAAAAAATTTGGAAAGTCAGTTCTTCCTTCCTGCCATGTGGATTCACTCATCAGCCTTGGTGACAGCATCCTTACCCACTGAGCCATCTCACTGGCCCTTTCCTTAGACTCTAACTTCTGATTCCATCTGCCTTTCCATCTCCATCACAGTCTTTCTATACTCTGACTCTGTGTGTTTCTATTTCTCTCTCTATTCCTCCAGGTTTCTGTGGCAAGTTTCCCATCACCCTCCCAATATACACAGAACTACTCTTCAGTTTCTTCTTCATTGAATAATATATTTTTATAAATGTGTGTATGACTGCATGTGTGTGCATGTGTGAAGACACACATACAGAAATGTCCCTGAGGCCAGGGAAGAATCCATACAGATTTTCAGACTGTGACTATGAGGATTAAGGGACTAGGGCAAGGAACGAAATAAATCTTAATTCCAGAAACTAAGCAGGAATTTTGGTTTAAAGGGAAAGCTGTAGCTTCACATATGAGCTCTTCCTGTTCCCTTCACCCCATAGTAAGTGTGTTCCTTCTCTAATGTGGGTAACTGAAGGTGTCACTTCAGAGAAGCCCTTGTGTCATCTCCACTTACAGCTTTCAGCTCTGTCCTTTCACAGGTATTTGGACCTGTGACTATCACACCGGTAAACATACTAACTGCAGGTTTCAGGTGCTTCACTGTATTTAAGGGGCTACAGATGCCACATAGCACCTTCAGAGGAGACCAAATGAAACACAGAAGACGTGGAAGTGTTTACAGTTTCCACCTGCAGATAATGGCTGTCACAACCCCAGCCTCCTCTCCTCTCCTGCAGCTCACACCTCCCAGGCCCCACCCAGAGCCCCACACACACACTACTGGGTCAAAACTCCAGCTCTAGACCTCAGATGCCTTCTGGTAAAGCCTAACTTGTCTTACATGACTCACACACACTCCGTGAAACAACCATGGGACTTGAACAAATTCTTGCTGAGCTGACCACCGTGGCCTGTGGGTTCGTGCTTTTCCTCCAAGTTCAGGGTGAGGCTCCCATGGGAGTGACTGGGATCCATGTCAGAGCTGCCAAATTGTACAGAAACAGAGTGAAGACTAAGAAATGAAATAGGCAATGGAGGACTGAAATGGTGGGGTTAATTGCTCAGGAGCCCTGTACTTGTATTATGCTTCTCCCAAGAGTCAGAGAGGGCATTCTAATTCATAGAGCAGAGAGGCTACCGAAAGATGCCAACCTTCAAGGAAGGAGCTCAGAATGAGGAGGTTTTGAGGAATGACAGATGATCAAGGCCAGAAAACAAACTGGGTGTGGATAGGGAGTCAGGACATTCCCTCCTGGCTTGAGGGCGGGAGCTGGAGCTATGTGTACATACTAAACATCATGATGATACCCTCCATGGCC